GTGCATGCTTAACCTGTTTCTGCTACTCATGTCTCTGATGACGAATCGGCGATGGATATCGAAACGTCAGGCGAATAAACATTGTCACAGCGATTGAGTCTTCTTCTTCTCAATTGCTTTCTGGGACACGGATGTTCGCTTGTATTGGCAATAAACAAGTTAATTAAATATGCCGCTGCAATACTGCTAAAGCTAAATCATCACTAATCACAAAAGTGCGCCTCCTTTCAACTTCCATGCATGCGGGATCTCAAAATACCAAACCCAGTGGCGCTTTATAGTCTATCGAGTTGTTGACATCCTTTTGGAAAGTAATTGAAAACGCGCATCGATGCCTATTGTTTGGATCTGAAACTTGCCAACATCATCGTCTACTTAACTTGGGTTTATAATAGTCTTGTTTGTTAAACGTTCATTTAAATTCTTCATGCTTGTTCTTGAACGTGTATTCTTAGTGGGTCTGTTTTCAACCTGCAGAATTTCGAATGGCTTCATTTATTCGATACTCAGTCAACTCCCGTCTCTCGTCTCGCCTGCTGGCCTCCAGCAAACTCTTAAACCTTCCACGTTGTTGCGCCAGCACGCACTTTGGCTTCGAGACTGTGGACGAAAAGGAAAAGCAGTCCAAGGGTAATCTCCCAAGTTCTGCGCACGAAATGGTTTGTAGTTGACAAGGTGTTTACCGGAGTAGCAGACAAGTATGATCTGATGAATGATGCTATGAGCGTGGGCATTCACAGGATATGGAAGAACCTCTTTGTCCAAAACATAATGCCAACCTCTAACCTGAACTGTCTCGATGTTGCCGGGGGAACAGGTAGGTCACACGTTGTTGCTACCTCCCGTAATGTCCTCTTTTAGGTGATATTGCCATTCGCATGGCCCGTTTCTCGAAAAATGTAACCGAACAGCACCAGTCGCCGACAGGGCAGGGCGGAAAGACCCCACCAAAGATCACAGTTTGCGATATAAATGGCGCAATGATGGAGGTAGGAAGAGCCAAGGCAAATGCGCTCGGACTAACTGAAAGTAATTACTCTGCTATGCTTGAATGATGGATTTTGGATTATTTTCCCTCCTAAAAATACATTTTTGCCTTTTTGCAGTTGAATGGGTCCAAGGAAACGCCGAGAACTTGCCTTTCGACGACAACATGTTCGACTTGTATACCATAGCCTATGGCATTAGGAACTGCACACACATTGATAAGGTTAAGTTGATTAATCTGTATGGTAACTAGCCGATTATATTATAGGTTCTTGAGGAGGCCTGTCGTGTCTTAAAACCCGGAGGGCGCTTCTGCTGCCTTGAATTCAGCAGGGTTCAAAATCCGCTTCTTCGCAAGCAAGTTTCTTTTCCGTGTATCTCGCTTTTCTAGAACATACCATGCTACTTATAATTTATGAGCACTTATTTGCGCCGTCCATTTCTGTTCAGGTTTTATGACGTCTATTCGATGCAAATGATCCCGGTTATGGGTCAACTAATTGCCGGCGATTGGCACTCCTACCAGTACTTGGTCGAGAGTATTCGTCGTTTTCCGGATCAGCAGGAGTTCGCCAACATGATCGAGGATGCGGGATTCAGAAACGTCAAGTGGACTAACTACACCTTTGGCGTTACAGCCGTTCATGTTGGAATTAAGTGATATTTGTACCTATTATTTAAACTTTTTTCTTCCTCAAGTGTATTGTTTTACAGTTTTAATAGCAATTTGACTCTAACACGCCTTTATATTAGTCTTAGCTTGACAAATTAGGGCCACCTATTCAGCTGACTGCTTAATTATCCCCTCATAACCCTTCAAGTTGGTTTTTTATTTGGAAAGAAACCGCCCATATTTCCTGAACTGCGTCGACCTTAAGTTCGCAAAGGAAGGAGGACGAGTGTCTAGTGCCATTTATTGCACCACTTGTAAATCTCATTCGCTGAAAACTATGCAAGACTTCGTCACAGACGGGACAAATTGAAAACGTGTAGGACGGCTAGTGGTGACAGTAGTCTTGTCCTGGTTTCCCTTCTGGAAATATGCATCTCAGTTATTTGATCAAAGGCCCATTGCCGTGGCGTCGCACACCGAAATCGACTCAAGGGGAGAAGACGCCTGTCCTTCAGAGTTGAATAAAAACTCAGGGTCAGAAGACCTTCGATAAAAGTCGAGGTGCATTAACACATTTGGGCATCCAGCTTGATTGGCCACCATTGCGTCAATTCTTACGTCGATTCGTTAGATGCATAGATATTCAGACCACCACTTCCTGAGAAAATGCCTTCACGTTTAAAGGAGGTCGGTACTATGACGCCAAAAGCAGTTATTAAAGGAACGGC